TATTGGGAGGTGGTTATAATTCATCATCAGAATCGATAACAATAGGGTTCTTATTCTTCTTTGAAGATGAAACTGTGGTTGGGATAGGTTAAGTAAAAGAGAAGAACTCTTTTTAAGGTTTCTTTAATGCAGGTTCAGGTTTTAACATTTATTCAAGCAGAGAAGATTTATCTTCAGAAGTTTTGTTTTCAAAAGGCTTTTAGATATCAGGTTATAATTCTTCAGAGGATCTTTATGAGGGTGGAGGTAAAACAACTTCTTATTTTTCAGAATCATTCTATGAATTGGCTAAGGGATCATCATTTGATTGTGGAGAAACAATATTATTTTTTTCATTCTTTGCTGTCTTTTTAGGAGTGGTTTCATCATCATCTTGAATATCATCATCAATAATAATAGAAGTTTATCTCTTTTTTTTATAAAGTAATTTGCAATCTGCTTCTTAACTCTTTTTATCTTCATCATTACTTTCTAATGCAGCCAATATGACAAGAGAATTAACATCTTACCTAGGATGTATAGGTTAATCATCTTATTACAAAGGTTCTTGGTTTTGAATTGGTTATGGAGATTAATGTTAGAGTTGATTTCTTTATTAGGGATCTTAATTATCTTCTTAGATCAATAATTGTATTATATGATCAACTGTGTTATTAGTTTATTATATTTGATCATGTTTAGGAAGTGGATCAATATTCACATGTTGGGATGATTGATTTTGAATAATGGGTTATGGGATTTAATTCACTAATTCATAGAGGAGTTGAGACTCAAGTTGAGGCTAATTTGATGTTATTTCTGACATTATGTATAATATAATTGAAAAAGAGTGTGGTTTATTTTGTGCTTATATGAAAATTATTTCCTGGATTTTTATTATAATTTGGATGAAGTAATCCTTCTAAATCAAATCTGAAATGTATATAATTAGTATTATTGATAAAGACAGCTTTGTTTTAAGATTGTATTCCTAGGTTCAAGTTCAGTTGGTAAGAGTTCACTCATCAAAAGATTTTTAAGAAATGAATTCGCAATGAAATCAATGAGTACAGTAGGAGTGGCATGTGTAAAAATATAAATGTTTATATTATAAGGAGTCTAAAATAGTTATAATAAATAATCAATAAGTGAAAGTATAAATGTGGGATACAGCAGGATAAGAGAGATTTAGATCATTAACTAAAAATTATTATAGAGGTTGTGATGCAGTTGTAATAGTATATGATGTTACAAATATGAAGAGTTTTGATCAAATAAATAATTGGATTGCAGATTTTGATGAGTATATCTATAACATCTATTAAAAGTAAATGTGAAAAACCAGCAATCAAAATGTTATTGGGTAATAAAATTGATATGCAAACCAGAGATGTAAGTACTGAATTAGGAATAGCATATTCAAAAAGGAAGAAAATAATATTTGAAGAAGTCTCTGCTAAAGATAATATTAATGTTGAAAATGCTATAATGAGATTAATTGGAATCTTAGTATCACAAACTAAAATAGAATCAGGAGACAAGAATCTTCGTAGAGGATCTATGGCTGAAACAAAATAAATTATTATTGAAGATCCTTTCATTAATAAATCAGCTAGATTATATAAGGATGCATCCATCTCTGATCATTCTAAATTATAAGCAATTAAATCAAATGATGATAGTTTACAAGAAGATATACAAATAAATAACACATCTAATCATTAATTAACATTCTCTTAAGATAATCATAATAATATGAACCTTAATTCATAATAGCCTACAAATAATATTAAACTAATTCATCCAAGATAATCTGGTATTATAAGGGATGAGTATATTAGAAAACATTCATCTAATTAAAATTGTATGTGTTCTTGTTGAATATTTATTTATCTCTGTTAATTAATTACCAAAAAAGATTTAAAAATTTATTTTAAATATAATGCCAAAGGGATAGACAACTACAACCTAAAAAGCTTAAAAGGCAGCAAAAAATACCAGAGTTGCCAAAAAAGTAGTCAGAGCTAGAAAACATTTCTAAAATAGATTCCATACCACTAAACCATTAGCATTAACTAGAAAACCTAAATTTACCAGATTAACAAGATAATTAAAACCAATCAATAAGGGTTTAGATTTCTAAAATGTCCTTAAACATCCACTCATTACAGAAAAAGATATGAAAAAGATGGAAGATGAAAACACTATGGTCTTCTATGTTAATTCAAAATCAACTAAACCATAAATAAAAAGAGCATTTTCTAAAATTTATGATGTTAAAGTTAGAAAAGTCAATGTATTTAATCTAAATTTATCATTAGATCTTAAATACATTTGGTGGAAAGAAGAAGGCATACATTAGATTAGGAGGAGAAAATGATGCACTTAATTTGGCCAATAAAATCGGTATCATCTGAGTGACAATTATATTACATAAGTAAAATATATATATATATATTCAAATTTATCCAAAATATTTTTATCTATTATGAACCATTCCATTAGAAACATTTATACATTTAGAAAGAAACAAAAAAGCTTCAATAAAACCTTTGCTGCTAAATATATCAAATAATTACTCACTAATACCTAAACACTATCTACTCCAATTCCTTATTTAAGAATTGAAGAAGAAATCAATGAACATACTAAAATAGAAGATTCCTTAAATATAAAGTAATCAATTGATGATTCCTCATTGCATTCCTCTCATATCATCTAAATTAATCATAACATTAAAAAAAGAGCCAATTTAGATTGTGATAATTATCGCTTGATCTATAGACTCAACTCTAAATCTTGTGTTATTCCCTGTAGAGTTTCCTTAAGAAAATTTAAAATGAACTAATAAGATCTCAAATTTATGGAGGATTTTGATAATCTAAAATCTTAGTTGCAATTTAAATAACCTAATGAAATTGATTTTCTGACTCCCTTCAATGAGTTTTATCAAAAGATAAATGAAATTGTATTGAATCAACTATGAATTTGTTATCATAATATTTACTAATAAAAACTATTATAAAAATTGCGGCTTTTTTGAAAATCAACTATTTATAATTTATAATGCCATTTTGGTTGATTAACTTAGAAACAGACATTATGTTAGGTCTTATACCAAAATCCCTCAATCTCTCAATAGTTATTATGATTATCTTTTTCATCATAAACATTCTCACTTTAATAATTAAAGAATCTTAAATTACAAATTATAAATACTGTACTATCTCTACCTTATCTTACTATAATGAAAAAAAGAGAATATTTGTTATTAAAATAAGTAATATTTGATTTTTTCAGTACACCTTTTAATTTATTTTACAATAGAAAAGATTATTATATAAAAGTTTAAATGGCATAATAAAAATAATTAATATCTTAAAACTGGGTAATTTTATTTGAAAACTGTTATAATAAATATATAATTCCACTTTTTTTCAATTCCCCATTTTTGTAATGACTTTTTCAATAAAGATTTATCAAATAATAAGACAAATTGAATAATGATTGATATAATAATATTTAATATATCAAACTTGAATATTGCTAAAATCTACTGATTAGACTAATTGTAAAGCCTACTCACTTATGGCTTATTCTCGTTAGAATTCATTCTTTGTATCATTGTAGATCTAAACTTCATCAGCATAGAGATCATTTTCCAATTGAAGTTGTTATTCATATGAAGTTTGATCAGCTGCTCTTTAGTCTCTGAAAGCAGTAACTTAATCAATTTTTTCTATTAAGTTTATAAATTGATATACCTAAAGTTGCAGTTAAATCAACATTTAAAGCATTGATTTGTCTTTAGAATTCAGCATATTCAGCATTCAATTATTCAATTCTGGCTTCAAATTCTTCTTAATCCTAAACTTCTTATAAAGATAGATCATTAATGGAATCAACAATAGCATTTCTAAATTCATTCAAACTATCAACAATTTAACTCAAGACTCCTTAATCTGAGAAGTTTTGATTTGAAGCTAAGGTAATCAAGGCTTTTAAGAAAGGAGCCATCTTGCTTCTAGGTTTGATGCTTGATTCTATTTTTTTGAGTGAATTTTAGAATTTCTTCACTTATGCTAATGATGGATTGTTGAGTGTTGATAAAAGTGACAAAGCATCATCTACTGCAGCAGTGGCATCATTTAATTCTGCTACTTAGGCTTCGTAAGCTTCATGTTCTTATTCTCTTGTTAAATTCTCTTCATCTACCTTTTATCTATTTTATTCTTAATATTCTTCTAATGTAGCAATTCTTAATTCTAATTATTCTTTTCTTGGAATTAAAAGATTCTCAATAACATCATCTGATCTACTAACATCTATTTATGCTTATTAAATCTATTGATTGAGTTAAACAAGTAATGAATTGTGTTCATTAGTTCTGCGTTAAAAATTGAAGTCAAGCAACTCAAGTCCATCTTCTAGATCATTAACAAGTTCTTCAATTGCGTCTAATAACTCTGAAACTGATCCTCCAGCCATTGAATGTAATTCAACTAAATGAAGTAAGGCTCTTCCATAATTTGTCTTTTATAATTCAGATTGCAACTTTTATGGACTTTAACTCTTTAGCTTAGCACAAGTTGCCAAAGAAATGAGTAATATTAAGATCACTATTCTCATTTTTTTTAAATATTATTATATTTATCATATACCGTTTTTGATTATATATCTCTGATTATATATCTTTAACAAAATAATTACTCTAAATAAAATGCATCTTAATTATCTTCCTCTCTATTATCAACCCTTAATATCTTCATTCCAAAAAAATCATTTTAATTAAACATTTTCTTGTTATTTAATTTATTAAGTCTCTTTAAATAAACTTTAATGATTCCTTTTTTATTTCTGATGAATTTCAATATACTAATAAGACAATTTTTATTTGATAAAATTTTATTATACTTATATAGATCCTTAATTCAATAATAGCCAATGAAAATAAATTAATCATGTAATTGATCTAAATTTATATTGACTCATATTTTTTTTTTCATAAATAAAAATAAAATATGAGTAATATTAGCCAAGATGATGAATATGATGAAGAATATTAAATGGACGATTATGACTAAGATTCAAATCTCATCTACAGTCTTCAAATTCTGAAAAGAAGTTCATCTACAAAGTTTTAATCATTATATTTTAGTTAGGAAATTCTAGAGTTGAAAGATGTATTGAACTATATAGATTAATTAATAACTAATATTGGAGAGCTATTAAATTTGGATGCAGATAATACATATGAAGTATCAATATTTTTAAATGTAGATTCTAATTTTTTATAATTGGAACAAAGATCGTATTGAAAGTGAATATCATGAAAAGATTCTGGAATAATTATAAAAATAAGGAATAGTTAATAATCATTCTGCAATATGTTAAATAGATAAAATCATGACCTGTTCATTATGTCTAGAAGATGCTAAATTAGTTAAGTTAGGATGTGGACATTAATTTTGTATGAGCTGCATTTAATAAACTATTGCATAAAGATTTACAAAAGAATAATTTTTGATTATTCCTTGTTTATAATATGGTTGTAAATATAGATTACCAATTTCAATGATAAAGAAATTATCTAAACCTGATGATTTTTAAAAAATAGTTTGTAGAAAATTTATTGAAACAAATAAAACACTTGCATATTGTTAAGGAGTTAATTGCAAGAAAATATTAAAGCCAAAAGATTCATCATTAACAACTGTCACATGCCCTTGTGGTACTCAATTTTGTTTTAGATGCAAAAATGAATTACATATACCAGTTCCTTGTGATATGGCTAAAACATGGGTCTCTGAAATCACAAAAAATGAAGCCAATATAAAATGGATTGTACTCAATACAAAAATATGTCCTTTTTGTAAAAGACCTGTTGAACGATCAGATGGATGTAATTACTTAATGTGTAAACCTCCAGGAGGTTGTGGATAAGCATTCTGTTATGTTTGTAGTAATCCTTGGGAACCAGATCATAAAGATCATTTTAAATGCAGCAAATATGTTCCTCCTGCAAATAATTTAGAAAAAGAAAAAGAAATCCTAGCTAGATATAATTTTTATTATGAAAGATTTTTGAATTCGAATTCTGCAGTTGAATAAACATAAAATAGATTGAAATAATTAAAAGAAAAGCATTATTAAGAAATATAAGAAATTTATGAAGTTACTTCTCTTCAAGCAGGATTTTTGGAAGAAGCACTAAATGAATTAGTGAAATCTAGATAAATTTTAAAATGGTATTCAATTAATTCTATTATTAAGGACATATTGTCTAGGATTCTTTATATCATAAACTAACCCTAATTCATCCAAATTATTTGATAATTATTAAAAAGAGTTTGAACATTCTTGTGAATAACTAGGAATATTGTGCATGCAATTTTTTAATGAATTAGAGAAATTGTAAAATTAATATACAAGGCAATAAACTACATTAGAATAAAGATAATGTGATTTTTAAGAAAAAAAAGATAAAATCTAAAAGTTATAGAACAAATGCCAATTATTAAGAGAAAACTTATTGAAAGATAGCTAAAATGGAGAAATTATGAATTGAGTTAATAAAATCTATAAATATTATTAAAAAACAAAAATTGTTTACATTCTAAGTTATCTTTAATATTCTTATTTAACCTTATCTTAATTTAATATTGAATGAAACTATATTTTATCAAATTATAAAGAAAAATATAATTTTTAGATATTCTATTAATAAGTAATATCGATCAATAATTTTAATTTATTCTTTATGTAGAAGATAGCCAAAAATTCAATCATATTACACATTTAAATTATTTTATAATGAATTTTAGAAAATTGTGAAATTTATTCTAAAAAACATTTCTTATATTAATATTTATATATATATTTTTAATTTAGAGTAAAATTATAATTGATGAAATAAAAAGTAATTAACCCATAAATACTAAAAATTTTTTAAGTGGTTTGATTATGTTTCATCTTTACATAACCAAAGTAACTTATCGTATGCTGATTAAAGAAATAATTTTGGCTAATATGAAAATAAATATTTTAACTTAGTTTAATCAATGTTGATTATTATGATATTTTATTAGTAGATTAAAAATTTACTAAATAATATTTAAAATATTTGTGGTTCTATGTTTTCTATAATGTGGTAACATTGAAGATTAGTTTCTTATTATTAGATATTTTGTGTGGAAATCAATAAATGTTAATATTTTGAATTAGTTAATTTCTAAAATCAGATCACATAAAATCAATTCATAATTTTTTTTCATTTTTATGAATATAATCATGATGGATGAATTTCTTAAATTATGTTTAATGAAGTTAATAATGAGAATTATTTTTTTTAATACTTGAAAAGATAACTTAAAATAAAAAATAGTATATTTAATAAATGATTGAATGGGAAGATTTTAAACTGGAAATTATTTGTTATATTGAATGATTATGAATGATATACTAATTATTTAATTATGATTCATTTATTTTCATCATTATAATTTTGAATAATAATATATATTATATTTTTTTTTATTCATAATCCAACCTAACTTAATATTTATTAATAATTAAATATATATAAAAGATTTTGTATATGTATATTTATATAAAACGAAAATTATTATTTGAAATAAATTCTTGATTTTAATAGATAATAATAATAAAATATTAACAAAGTTAATTTAATTTATAAATGATCAGATATTTTCATAATTGATTAAACATAATATTAAAATAGTGAATTAATTTATAAATGATAAGTAATTTTATAATAAAGTAAATAAAATAATAAAATATTGCATTAATTTATAAATGACATGATTAGTATAATTTAATATTTAATAACATAATCAATTGAAATCAGTTACATTATTATATTAAAGATCTTTTTAGATTTATAATTAATATTATAAAAATATTTCTTAAATGAAATCGAATATATAAAAGTAAATAATAATATTAAATATATATAATATAATCATAATATTTTATATATATTAATTTATTTTTTATTTAATTAATAAAAGTCAGTTTAGTCTGTTTTAAAATATACAAAAAAATCAGATTCTAAAAGCAACTAAAAATTATTTGCCAATATATTTTTGAAGAGTTTATCAAGTAAACTAATCGTTTCTTTTGAAATTTACATTTTATCAAAATAAAATCAGTTATCTATAAAATCAGATACATTAAAATGTATAAAGTGAAATAAAGAGTATAAATGAATTAATAATGGTTTAGATATAGGCAATTTAATTGTAGAGAAAAAATGAGTAATATAATTTAAAAAAGTAACTTATTTAGAAAATAACCTATGCTAATGATGCGTATATGAAATATTAATTGTGATATTTAAAACTTATGTTTGAAATAGCATTTTAATATTGATTAAAAATTTTCTTTAAATGAACTATCATTAGAACAAGAGTTTTAACATAATAAAAAAATTAAATTCCAGTGTTCATTTAAATATGGTCAGATGATAAATATTGAGATTAAATGGAATAATTGAATTGGAGGGTTTTATTAATTATAGATATAATATGAAAATCATAATTTTTAAATATTAAATGTTTTTTCTCTACATATTCAGCATACTGTCGTTAAAGTAGAAGTTATTTTTATTAGAAGTTTTTAAAATGGAAGTTCCTCTTGTGGTGTTTTCAATGTAGTAACATCACCTGAAAATGAACAAAGGACAATATTCTAAGATCTTTCAGAAGAAATAAATAAGGACTATTCATGGGGGGTTTGGACAAGATATATGCCAAAATATGAGCCAATTGAAGACTTGGCTTAGAAAACAAAAATGATGCATGTATTATCAGAAAGTTTAGATAAAAGAAATCATTTAGTTTATTATATAGTTTTAGATAGAGAGGAATTATATATGTATCATAAGTTATTCATCTATCTTAATAATTATGTTGAAATAAGAGAATTGAAAGTTAATTAGGAGTTAATACAAGATAATTGGGTTTTTTTCTATTTTTGTTATTCATCAAGTTCGTAAATTTATAATATATTTCTTTACATTAATGGAAATAAAGAAAATGTGCAAATGATATAAGGAGGACCATATAAAATAGAAAATGAAGGGCTAAAAATATACTAATTAGGAGGTAATCAAACAATCCGTTATTAAAATACTTTGTTGCAAGAATCAATAATTTCTTTGAGTCCCTTTTCAGGAGAAATATCAGATATGGACTTAAGAATTGGAACATCAAATATATATGATGATATCACTACTTTCTTATTAAATGTTGATGATGCAAATTGTGTAATTTTGTTATGTAAAAATGTGATGACAACTGAGTTGGTATTATAAAAATAATATCTGGGAGACTTTGATAGACTATAATTATATTATGCCGATAGTAAATTTATGATTTATGGATGGGTTAAATTAAATGAATTAGAAGAAGTAAAAAATATAAGTTAATTTATTAGTTATCTACTGTAAAATCAGTTTTAATGAGAGCTAGTTTAAGAAGAACTTATTTTGATGATCTTTATCAAGGTGATAGAGCTTTTTATTGGGAATATTTGTAAAGCAATTAAAATAATGAATAAAACGGATTTTCTGTAACTACATATCATAATGATCCAACTAAACCACTTTCTTAATATAAATCTCTTGATACAGACTCATGGGTATTAACAGGAGCATAATATTAATCAGCTATTACATTTTGGCATTGGTTTGTCTATTAAGAAGGAGTTAATGATGTTAACAATATTAGGTTATCTATTTATTTTGGTTAAAGTAAAAAGACTTAAATTTTATAAATGAGACAAATTCATTTTGAAAAGTCTTCATTATACTTTACAATAGGAGGTGATAAGTTCAATAAGAATTTTAGAGGAGAAATTCGTAATTTAACATTTTATTATTGTTTTACTTAAGATACACCTAAAACTAAATGTAAAATAATTTATATATTAACTAGTATGTCATTATAGTTGTAAAAGTTGTTTTGGACCTGAATAAAGCTAATGTCTTGAGTGTGATGAGTCTGATTCATAAAAAAGAACATTAAATTAAGGATCTTGTAAATGTCAATCAGGATATATTGATAATAAAGAAAAAGGATGCTAACGTAATTGTTAATTTTAATATATAAGCTATATCATCACTTGTTACAATTGAGATTTAAGAAGCATTAGATATTGATGATTCAAATTGTAAGTTAGGTGAATTCTTAGTTTTATTATATGGAAAGTCATATTGTTTAACATGTCCTGGTTAATATACTGCTTGGAGTTTAAATTGTGTTGAGTGTATAGCTGATCCATTACATTGGTATTTAAATCCAATTTGTAAAAGTGATTACTTTTAACCTTTATAAGATGATAGCAATTATGTTTTTTTAGAAACATAACGTAATGAGATAGATTATTAATACTATTTGATAAATTAATTTGATTTATTAGAATAACCAATAGTGGAACTTTGTTCTGGATGTTCAGGATAAACAAATAATAATTTTAATTTTATTGAAAATTATTAATTAAATATACTTTCTAGATTTGCATGTAAGACTTGTTATTCTGTTATTAATGGTGAATGCATTAATGTTCATAAAGACTGTATTCGTTGTGATTCTTCTGCTATTTGTTTAGAATGTTTAAGTAATTATACATTATATGATGGATAATGTTATGAATGTCCTAATTATTGTCCAAATTGCAAAAAGAATAATACAGATATTTATTGTTAGAATTGTATATCTGGTTATTTTTATAATTCTACTTCTGAATAATGTATTTAATGCGGTTAATATTGTTCTGTGTGCATATATAATGAAGTATTACCATATTTATAATGTGTTCGATGTATTGATGATAAATAATATTTTATATCTGCAGACAGATAAATGTGTAGATTGAAAAATATAGAACATTGTGATATTTAAGGAGAAGAATTTATAATATAAGATACACTTAATTTTACTATAAAAGATAGGAATATTCCATATGCATCAACAATTGATATTGATACAAATTATACTACTTAACCTACATTCTAAGTTTGTATATTATGTGAAGATTAATATGTGAATAAATTAGCTTTATATTCATCAAATGAATGTGTTCATGCAAGTGATACAAGTAAATTGCCAGGTTTAAGAGATGAACTTAAATAATTAGTATTAGAATCTTAGAATTATTAATACTAATTATCATTTTCTAATTGGGCTAGTCCAACTACAAATTATACTGTAATTTATGGTAAACCAACTAAACTATGGATTAATAATAATTCTAATTTATCATCTTAAGTTTATTACAATTTTAGTAGTGTTGTAATTTCAAATAATTATAATTATGATGATCCTGCACTTAAATGTACAGATCCACATTGTATAGATTGTATAAAAAATTATATATGGTCATAAGAATTTTGTATAAAATGTCAAAATGGATATTATTCAAGTGCTTTCACAGGAATTTGTTATGTATGTTCAGAAGATTGCTAAGATTGTTTATAATAACATATTGTTTATTAAGATGCTTGGAAATGGTAAATCATCCCATATTATCAATATCGAAGTAATATAT